GTTACTTAATTAATATTAGTAAGGTAGGTAAAATTTATAAGTTTGTATGTAGGGGGTTATTGGAATCGCTAGTCGGATTTCCAAATTATTTCACTGAGAGATTGCTACGATATCGATATACGACTTCACGTTACGATCTAGCAGCGAGTGAAACCGAGAGGCGTTGATTTTCAATAAACCTTCTAACCAAATTAATTTCCCGTCTCTGAGTTAGTATTCAAAAATTGTTGTGCAGATGGCAAAATCTTCAATAAAATTTACTACTTACAGATCAAAAAATCCTGCAAAGAATACCTCCCTTCCCTATGAGGAGACGTCATTCCAATATAATTCCTGATCGTTAAAAACCAAAAAAATGCAAATCGCAGCAACGTCTTTCACACGTGTCATCGCCCACTTTCTAAATGACTCATCATTTTTGAAACGAATTTCGCTTATCAAATAAGTCAGCACAATATGGATATGCCTGGCTAGATATGAATCTTAAGGCGTGCCTACAATCGAACGTTTATGGCTAAGTTTCGACCTGGAACTGTGCCAACGGTACTATTCAAGTCTAGACTGGACTGTATTTGCAAAAAATCCATTGTTTTGAATGTATAAGATTTATTTTTATACGTGACGTGTGTATTTTTGCTGAAGATGGCAGTATTAAATTATTTTCTTTGACTAGCTACTCCGCGCGGTTTCTCCCGGTACTCGGCTCCATTTAATAGTAGTGTGATGTTTTATAGCATATAGCACTCAGGAACATTGTAGCTATCTATCAGTGAAAGAATTTTGGCAATCCGACCAGCGGTTCCAAAGATAAACCCCTACATACAAACTTACAAATTTTACCTTTTTATAATATTAGTATAGATAGCCTACAGAGGACAAAAAGGACTAAAAGAATTGATCAATTCGAACCAGTAATTCCAGAGATTAATGCGTTCAAACAAACTCTTCACCTTTGTAATATGTATTAGTATAGATAAGCTTCGTAAACATCTCTACGCGAATTTAAACCTTAGATACAATCAGTATGAGATATTATTTTCCAAAACCCTTGTCATAAATAGACCGTTTGGACATCCCATAAATAAGTCAAAATCATTTATTCCAAACTAAACAATAAATAGGTAGGTACTTTTAAACGTCAAAAGAGAATAGTAGTCTGTCAGTCTGTTCGTCAGTGAAGCTAGGTGCTCATTCCAAATTGTAGACTCGAATGGAGAAGAACGAGCAAGAAACGCCATAAGACTCATAACGATAAACAGGCATCCAATCAGTAATCCCCAAACCGTTAGTCAAGCTTGGTGATTATAGTTTATAAGTGCTGAAGGCTAATGAGGGCAAAACTTCAAAATCAAGTTACCAAAACCACATAGTGTATGTTATGTATAAGTCCAGAACAAAAACAGGTCCTCACAAAAAATGCGACCAATTTTTTTCTTTAGCCCATTGTTCTTGTGAAGCGAGTAAGAAAGAGATCAGCCCTGCTTGGCCTGTCAATACAATGATACACATGCCATCATCAAGGTCAATGACATTTCCATTCAATGCCGGACATTAAAGTAATCGTAACTAGAGAAATTATTAATTTCAACTTTAATACAAATTGATAAGGTTGAATTTTTATACTACAATGAAATTGCGGCTATCTTCACGTGCGTTCGTGGTGATCTGACTGAACTATCACACATTTGGTATATTTTTGTCATTCCGATATGAACATCTGTTCAAACTTAACAGCGGTCTGTCAATCATTGATTAGGTTTTTATAAGATTTTTTTATAGTTACACTACACTGAAACTCTTTTTTAATTTTTTCGTGGTCTGCCGAAAGAAGTATTTACAGTGAGGTTTGAAAATAAATTCGTTAGAGATCGAGCTCAGCGTTGTACTACAGAAAAAGACTATATCCAGCAGTAGATGAAAACGGGCTGATGATGAAAAGTATTAAACATCATCATATCGGACGTAAAGTGCCCACAGCTAAGCAACGGTCTCTTCCCACGCGAAAACGCTATGATCATTAATAAGACATGGATTTATCCCAAGCATACGGCGCATCGCTTTCCTCGCACGGTTCTTTGGATCATCAGCATATAACAGATGGGGTCCAGTAATCCAGGGGTGATACGGGTGTAAGTGCAATGATAACCGCAGCCCTGCTCGAAGAAGTGGATGGTTTTTAGTCAGTAACAGTGTGAGCCCCGCTTAGGATGGGAGAATTATATTCTGCTATAAAAAAAAATCATGTTTAATTAATCTTGGAAAATTCACAACACTCCCGAAAAAGACACAGTGGAACTTTTCATGTTTCGAACTAGCATCTTCATATATGAGAAGCGGGCGCGTTAACTAGCGGCCCACCAAACATACTACGACCCCATCCTAATAAATTTATGAGAGAAAATACAAACTCTTTTGATAAAGTCAAAGTCATAACCATTTATTCCAACTAAACCATAAATAGGTACTTTTGAAACGTCAAAATAGAATAGTAGTCTGTCAGTCTGTTCGTCAGTGAAGAGTGTAGATTCCACTCGAATGGAGAAGAACGGGCAAGAAACTCCATCGTTACTCTTTTTAAATTATAACGTTTTACATTATACATGTAAGATAACATTTAAATTCTATTTCTATAAACAGGCAACAATCAAATACAACCAAAAACTAAGTAATTTAAGACCAAGACTAGAATTTTTTGCTTAAACTTTTTTCTATCTACAAACTAAACGTTAAAGTAACTCTAGACGCGTAACGTTACAATGAACAAAACGGCGCGCGCGCCGATGTTTAGCAGACAAATTGACAGACGTATCGTTTGTCAGAACCGGTTACGTTTGGAGCTGCGCCCGCGCCGCCCGGTACGCTTATACAAACCAACCAGTTGTGTACGTATGTACGTGTTACATACAATACATAATTTTGATGAGGCTGTCGACATTTCGTTGACATGTATTTTGAATCGATAAAATTTTAGAATTTATTTCAAAATACCACTTTTGCACGTTGATTTTTACAGTTGTAAGGTAAAATTGAAACTGATTTAAAAAGAGTAACCATGGAGTTTTTTGCTAGTTCTGCACTTCTTCTCCATAGGAATCTACACTTTGGAACGAGCAAATAGCTTCACTAGAGTACTGACCACAATGTTGAATATTTTGATATTAATTGTTTTGTTTGACTTTTATAAGTGTCTAAATACACCACTATTTTTATTAAATTATTAGACTTTTTGAATTTGGTACAATTTTAGCTGATCATCGTATTAAAAGCTGTATCCGAGATGGACCCCTCCCGTCATCTGGAATATGGTCATACATGCATTCTACATCGCCAGCTTACCGACGGCTATTTTACTCGAGTTGAAGAATTTAGTAATAATACTAAAATGTATAAACAATACAACAGTCTGTCTGTCTGTAATTAGCGCTGATTACTAAGAAACCAGACATCATTGTCGGCAGTGGCTTAACGATTGAGCTTTGTGTGTTGCGGGTACAATGGTCCGCTTTGTAACTCGTTTTTCTATGTGATAGTACGGTAAACTGGCATACGGATTACCTCATGGTAAGCAATGGATACTTGCAAAATCAAAGTGCGTGCCAGCCTTAAGGTTTAAGAAATTAAGGGATGAAAATGGGAGATGAGAGGTCAAGAATTGCGCCTCAGTTAACTTCACTCACACGGCGAAACACAACACACAAGGTTAATTCACGCCGATTTTCTAAAAGGCCGACCCATTCGTGCCGAACCATGGCTCTCCCACACTTGAACCAAGCTAATCTTCTACCACAAAAAGTACATTTATTAATTAAGTTAAGTTAATCAAGCGAGGTAACCCCTCATCAAACGACCTCTCTCGGCCATGATAACGCAAGAGGAGTCAAACTCTTACTCGATTAAAAACCTCCCCATTTCTAGCCCTGGTCCGAGCCAGGACCGCCGAACATAGGGCGGCGATCGCTTTCCACCAGACGACCTGAATGCTCGTTACCCTCATACAAAAAAAAACCTATTAAAACATTACAACTCGAATCGTAATATTATCGAATGAGCCGTGTCGATACATCGATAGATAGATAAAGCAACGCCTGATAACACATATAGGTGCAGTTCCGATAAGGTGGGTAATTGATACTATTGGTCACGTGACCCTTTATACAAGAATACGCCTCTATTATGCTTTATTGTTGGGTAATAAGGTTGCTTTTTGCGTCTAAGAGATTTTTTTTGTTTGGTTAAAGTGGAAGTTAGTCTCTTCAGAGAAGTCTGAAGAGCGGTACAGGTTTTCAAGGAGTAATATATATCTATACTTTATAAAAAGGTAAAATTTGTAAGTTTGTATGTAGGGGATAATCTTGGGAACCGCTAGTCGGATTGCCAAAATTATTCCACTGATAGATTGCTACAATGTTCCTGAGTGCTATAGCCTATAAAACATCACGCTACGATGAAATAGAGCTGAGCAGCGGGTGAAACCGCGCGAGACTAGCTAGTAATAGATATAATTAAGTGTGGGAGAGCTACAGCGTTGTGTTTCGCCGTGTGGGTGTGGTTACCGGAGGCCCTATCCTTCCTCTCCCATAATCACTAAATCTCCAAATCCCTTATCCCCAAAAGGTCGGCATAGACACTCGTAACCCACTATCAGGTAATACGTTTGCCCGTTTGTCGACCTATCACGTAAAATTATAATAAAGAAATAACAACTGCGAAAATACTAAACATCGAATGAAGTAACTCCTATTAATCTTATATTAAAGAGTAACAATATACAATGCATATACCTATATGCATAATAATAACAATGTAGGTATTATGTATGTATGTACAAAACAAAACATAATTAACCCACATTACCACATGCATGTAATTGAACACACATTATGACGATAAAAATATCCTTATCAACCTTATAGTCTAAAAAACTGTTTTTTTAGATCAATGTGCCCCGTGCCAATTTAATTAAAAACAAAAAGTTACATACATTTTTCTTATTTGCTAAGCTAAGCCCAATCCCTCCCACTACCCTATCCCTTCCCGATCCTTATATCCCCAATCCCTATCCCCAAAAGGCCGGCAACGCACTCGTAACTCCTTTGGTGTTGCGGGTGGCCATGGGCGGCGCCGATTGCTTACCCGTCAGGTAGGTAGGTAATCCGTCTGCTCGTTTGCAGACTTATACCATACAACAAAAAAAAATTAGCGCCACCCGTGGATACCTGCAACACCAAAGAAGTTTCCAGTGCGTTGTCGGCCTCTTAAGGATAAGGGTTTTGTTATAAGGATAGGATTTCGGTTCGAAATAACGCCAACAATTTTACGTACGAAGTACTTATGTTGTTTTACGGTGATATGAGTAATGTTAGAAAACAATAGATTTGTCATTAATACAGAGCCATTAGTAATACAGTTGGGTCAATGAACCCACAGCACTTTATTATTATTTTTAATGTAATAGGAGGGCGTCTGAATCTGCGTCGCCGACATTTTAGGAATGAGGGATTTATAGATCTTGGAATTGGAGAGGGATTGGGCGTCCAGTAACCAGACTGACACCCGGTTTCTGAATGGCTTGTCAACGTTAAAATTAACTAATCTCTTGTCAAGTCATCTGATTGGTTGTTAATAATTAAGTCAACCAATCAGATGACTTGACAAGATATTAAATTGATTTTAACATTGATCGGCCTTTCGGAAACTGGGTGTGAGTTTCACGCCGGTTTTCGGTCATTGTATCACTCGGGTTGAGGTTTTTTTTCAATTTTCCCCTCTACTTTTCTAATGTTGACAATTACTTATAAGAACATTCTCACACAACAAAATACGAATTGGTTATATTGGCATTGTTGAGTTAACCCTTTACCAACATGTTTTAGTATTAATTTATATGCTTTTTAACTAGTTAAGGATGTTATAATCAGGGTGACCTATTTGTAGTCATTGTATAAACAACTAGCTACTCTCGCGCGTTTTCACCCGCTGCTCAGCTCTATTTAATCATAGCGTAATGTTTTATAGCCTATAGCACACAGGAACTATCTATCAGTGAAAGAATTTTGGCAATCCGACCAACGGTTCCAAAGATTACCCCCTACATACAAACTTACAAATTTTACCTCTTTATAATAATAGTATAGTAATAATATATTAGTATAGATTCATATTATGTTTTCTAAATTCATCCTCACTTTATTATAGAAATAGGATCATAATTTTCCTTAAAAACCTAACAATACATTTACTAAACAGTTCAATTTGTACTCAATCATATTAATGTTATAATTAACAAAACAGTTTTATTGATAATTTATCGACAATTAAGAAATAATTAACAGCCTGAATACTACAAATTAATTAATCTGATTATTAATAAAAACAATACATTTGGTTGTTTGTTTGTTTTGATTGAACAAGCTCTGAAATTACTTGACCGATGTGAAAAATTCTTTCATTCTTGAAATAGCTGTAAAAACAGGCTGGCAAAACCCATAGGGTAGAGCTAGTGTAATATTGTACTTGATTGATATTCTGTGTATGCAGTTAGTCTAGAATCTGTGGGAATTTGAAATATAATAATGCTGTGTGTAGTTCTTACTATCATTATTTTACAGCCCTTTCTTTGTCAGCTCGAAGCTGGAACGCAGTATACTGCGCTGGCACCATCAACACCCTGCTAATAACAGTCGGAATGTTTGTTTTAATTGATAATTTAACATGAAGGGAGTCCATGAAACTTTAAGCTTATACATATGCTTGACTGCACGGTTGGCGCGCAACGTGTCGCGGATTCGATTCCCGCACGGAACAACTCTGTGTGATTCACAGATTGTTGTTCTAGGTGTGATGTGCATGTGAAATTGTATGTTTGTAAAGGCACCCATCATCATCATCATCATCAGCCCTTTTCAGTCCACTGCTGGACATAGGCCTCTCCTATTGCACGCCACTGGGATCGATCTTCGGCCACTCGCATCCAGCTCCTGCCAGCCATCTTGCGCAAATCATCACTCCACCTTGCCTGAGGACGTCCTACATTACGTTTGCCGAGACGCGGTCTCCACTCAAGAACTCGTCTACTCCAACGGTCATCGGTTCTTCGGCTAATATGGCCAGCCCACTGCCATTTCAGCTTGCTAATCCGGTGGGCTATGTCGATTACCTTGGTTCTCTGCCGGATCACCTCGTTTCTGATTCGATCTCGCAGAGAAACGCCGAGCATAGCCCTCTCCATAGCTCGCTGAGTGACTTTTAGCTTGTGAACCAGCCGCACCGTCAGTGTCCACGTTTCGGCTCCGTATGTCATGACAGGTAGGACGCACTGATTGAAGACTTTCGTCTTTAGGCACTGTGGGATCGACGACGTGAAGACTTGACGCAGCTTTCCATATGCTGCCCAACCTAGCTGAATTCTTCTATTCACCTCGTTCTCGAAGTTGTTTCTACCCATCTGCAATGTCTGCCCGAGGTATACATATTTTTGAACGACTTCGAGAACAGCGCCGTGTACTGCAATCGGTTCCGGTAGTACATGTTCATTGAACATGACCTTGGTCAAGGTAATAATATCTACAAGTATTTCAACTTCATACAAACGGCCGAAACGCGAACTATACCTACGCGCCCGATGTCGGGACGCGCTCGGGACGCAGACAGACGCGGCTGTACCGCAGTGACGAACGGACGGTGTGTTGTCTTTTATTTAGAAATTAGCTCGAGTACATTATTTAATATGACGAATAGGAAATATTGTGCTGTTATTATGTTTGGTTGCATGAATTCGTCAATAACGCATCCACACATAAGTTTTTTTTTAATTACCTGGAAACTCTGAAAGGTAAGACTATAAAATAATTTTACTTACTAGTAGCCTAGGTAGGTACATAATGTGTGTCTTTATGGATCATTATTTCCAGTTATCTCACGAAAACAGATGTTTGAATTTATAAATAATATGAATAAAGTTATTGAGACGAGTGAAATAGGTAGTTATAGGCGGTTCTGGTTCTGAATGAATCATGATACGTTAGGTACCTACCTACTTACGCTTGTGTTAAAACGGTTCATGTATGTTTTGTTAGTTTGTATAATTCAAAGTAGAGAGTGTGGTATTTTATTATTAATAATATTTGTTTATTATCTGCGTTTATGAATAATAATACTAGAAAATATTTAATAACAACAATAAAACAGCTAGACTCATGTAATATTTTGATGTTTGAGGGTTGTGATTTTAGAACATTCGTAGTCAGCCGTTCAGTTCGGCATTAGTGGCCAAAGAAATTTTGTTTGTTTATTTTTAAAGCACTTTATTTGTTTGTCGGAGCGACGATTATTTAAATTGAATTTTGAAGGAGGTTTTATTACAATTCATCGGACGAGGGTACCATAAATCGTACTCTGGCGGAACGTCAAACTGGCAGTTCTGCGTGCGCATTAAGGTGGAGAGCGAGCGCTGTGACTGTCATCTGAGACGGATCGCCGACGTCCGTTATTTTTGTAATTTATTCGGCCTGATTATAAAATCCTACGCCCTGTGATGAACTGTGAAGACGATGATCGGCATGTTGATGTTTGTACCAACCCCCCGGTGCCTTCATCAGAAGTGGGATTTGATGGGAAACCATCTAATATTCCGAAAGTATGACCTGTAACTGACGCGTATGAAAAAGGGGCATGCAGTCATCTGTTTTTCATGCCACGTTTCTACTGCCTGAAGAAAACCAGCGATGCAACATTTAAAGCCATAGAGCTTCTTAAGTCGTGATGGAGATATCTACGGGTGAGGAAGTTCCTTTTCTTTGTTATAACGGGTTATCATGCTCCTTATCTGCGTGTTCATATGATTGAACCAATGACTATAGTTAGTTATAATGTGCAAGATAGTTCACAAATTAGATGTTGTTAGTTGATGGTTGTACCTAGTTTCATCTGGGTAACGTGAAGTTCTGTGAATATAGTTGTGAGTTGGCGTAGCCGATCATTGGGAAGGATAGTGACGTCCGGTCTATGTCACGTGGTGTCTAGTCGAAGGGACGCACTAGTCTGACCCAGGTAGGTGATGTGGTGAGCTGGTCGAAGGGATGATGTGGTCTTGCCGGAGCATGTTGGCTGGTGGTAGAGGCGCATACATCCGGTCCATGCACACCAATCGCTGAGGCCGTATCACTGTGGTTTGGGATAAGTTGTTTTGGAAGTAGGTACAACTGAAAATGATGATAATGTTACATCGATGTTGAGTACAGTAACCAGGCGATGTTGCGGTAGTGCATGTTAGTCAGGATGAACGAGCAGCGTGCTATACACGTGAAATCTTACTTCTGTTCCAGAACTTACAACTATGATCGCTCGAGGACGAGCGAATGTCAGTCTGGCCGTGTCGGAGCGACGATTATTTAAATTGAATTTTGAAGGAGGTTTTATTACAATTCATCGGACGAGGGTACCATAAATCGTACTCTGGCGGAACGTCAAACTGGCAGTTCTGCGTGCGCATTAAGGTGGAGAGCGAGCGCTGTGACTGTCATCTGAGACGGATCGCCGACGTCCGTTATTTTTGTAATTTATTCGGCCTGATTATAAAATCCTACGCCCTGTGATGAACTGTGAAGACGATGATCGGCATGTTGATGTTTGTACCAACCCCCCGGTGCCTTCATGTTTATATAAAAAAAGGATATTTACAATCACAAAACTAAATAGAAACAGAAAGTAGATAAAGGTAATTAAAATACTGGAGACGAGCAGCCCTAACGCATGTTTACGCACCGCGCGGCTGTAGGTATTTATTTCTTTCAAGCGGCCGAGTTAAAATACTGTATGATATTTATACTGTGCCTTGGTTTTATCCAAGTTCATCCGTAGGCCGATGCGTATAGAAGAGTCAGCCAGGTCATTCAGCATCCGTTGTAGGTCCTGCAGCGTTTCTGCTACGATGACGATGTCGTCTGCAAATCGCAAGTGAGAGATGTACTCGCCATTTATGTTGATGCCGCGTCCTTTCCAGTTCAGCGTCTTGAACATATCCTCCATTGCATTTGTGAACAATTTCGGGGAGATAACATCCCCTTGTCTCACACCTCGATGCAACGGTATCGGCCTTGTTTGCTGATCCTGTACTTGGACGGACATGGTGGCGGCCTCGTAGAGACATCTCATCACTTGGATGTATCGCCAATCTACTTGGCATCGCTGCAGGGACTCCAGAACAGCCCAGATTTCGACCGAGTCAAAGGCTTTCTCATAGTCCACAAATGCTAGGCACAGGGGCTGATTATACTCCTCAGTCTTCTGTATAATCTGCCGCACTGTGTGGATGTGGTCTATGGTGCCGTATCCGCTCCGAAACCCAGCCTGCTCCGGTGGTTGGAATTCGTCAAGTCTTCGCGCAAGGCGGTTCGTGATCACTCTCGAGAACAGCTTATAGACGTGGCTTAAAAGGGAAATGGGTCGATAATTCTTCAGTAGGGTTTTGTCAACCCTTTTTGAAGAATAAGACGACCACACTCCGACTCCACGCCTCTGGAGTTCTCCCTTCAAAACAGGACAGCGTTAAATAGCTTTTGCAGCTCCCTGAGTATCGGTTTGCTGCCTGCTTTTAGAAGCTCTGTCGTAAACGCCATCCTCTCCAGGGGCTTTTCCATTTTTAAGCTGTCCAAGAGCGATCTCGATTTCGTCAATGCTGACTTCTGGCAGGTCTTCGGTGTAATGGCGTATTAAAGTGGCTCTAGAGTCCTCATTTCCGGGGTCAGGTCGAGATGCATGCGAAGCGTATAACCGGCCGTAGAAGTTTTCTACTTCCGAAAGAACTGCCGGCTTCGAGACAACGACTTCTCCACTTGCTGTGGTCAACTTCGTCAGGTGGCTTCTTCCAAGAGATTGTACGAACACTTTTGGCCCCCGGTTTTGCTCGATCGCTCTCTCGATTGCAAGGGTATTCGAGCACCGGAGATCGTGTCGCACGTGTTTGCTAATCTCTCGGTTTAGAGCCCGCTTCTCTGACGAAGTGACGGTGGTTTTCACGTCGTCTCTTCATAAGCCCTAAAGTCTCTTCCGAAAGCTTCGACTTCTTGCCCTTACGCTGCATTTCACAAAATCTCGTACCTTCTTCCCTGAGAACTCGAACCACGTTTTCAAGGTTCCGGTTAACGTCGGTTGTGGTTTCCATGGCAGCAAATCGGTTCTCCAGGTTTAACTGAAACGCTTCAGATCCCATTTTGATTTGAAACAGGGTTGGTCGGAGCCTGGCCTTCATCAAGCGGACTCGTTCGGCTCTGAAGTCGATATTCAGAGAGCCTCGGACGAGTCGGTGATCGCTACCGGTATTAAACCTATTAATCACGGAGACGTCTCTGAATATGTGCCTTTTGTCCGCCATGATGAAGTCGATCTCGTTCTTTGTCATAGTGTCGGGGCTTTGCCACGTCCACTTCCTTTGGGGCTGCTTCTTAAAGAATGAATTCATTAAGAACATCCCCTCCCGTTCGAGGAAATTGACGAGCATTTGCCCCCTATGATTCCTGTTTCCATACCCATGGGATCCTACTACCGATTCACTGCAATTTTGTACTCCCACTTTGGCGTTAAAGTCCCCATAACAATGTTGAAGTGAGTCCTAGTGGTGGAGTGGAGGGCCCTCGATATATCATCGAACATCTCCTCCACCTCATCATCGGAGTGTGCCGAGGTCGGTGCGTACACTTGGACCACCTTAAGGCTATACCTCTCGGTGAGCTTTATAATGAGGTACGCCACCCTGTTCGACACACTCGACATTTCCACAACATTGTTAGATAGGGACTTGTTAACCAGAAACCCAACGCCACCTTGGGATTTTTGGTCTCCCTCACGGAAGTACATCAGGTGGCCTGATTTGAGAGTTATCGTGTCCTCCCCCTCTCTTCGGACTTCACATAACCCTAGTATGTGCCACCTGATTTTCCCAAGTTCCACCTCTAGTTGCGCTAGATGCGAGTCAAGCCGTAGCGTGCGTCCGTTGTACGTCGCCAGGGTCAGTCTGTTGTGGTGGCCTCCCGTAGCCCGGAGATTCTTAGCACCCCCTACCCCACCGTTACCATGGTCGCCACCATGACCAGGAATAGTGGGGCTGCCGGGAACTGGGGGCCGTGGCCTTCGTTTTTTTGCCCATAGGAGGTATTGCCCATAATCGCCACGCTGGGCAGGCGGGTTGGCGATCGCAGGGCGAAACTTTTCGCACCGGTAACGCTGCTGCCCGTCACCGGCCTGCGGTACTTAATTTCGCCTGTTTGTAAGGGACGGATATACCGCCGTCGGTCGGTCGCCAGAGCCTCGTTCGTTGACCAGCAGGATGCACCGCGTGCAGGTGAGGTTGGCTTGGGGCGAAAGATGGAAGTTCACCCCCTTACACCCCATGACACAGGAGAAAATCCTAGTGTGGGGCAAGGAAGAATATAATGCCTTTTGCCATTAAGTCCTCCTTCGTATTTTATACATAAAATGTTAAATAGAATATAATCTTATCATACAAAACTAGGTGAAGTCTCCACTTCAAGACATACAAGGAGACTTCTAGATACACTTCAAATCAATTATTTTCTTCAAACATTGATTTCATAAGAATTCTTAACATGAGTACAGATAATATTTATCATTTTTAGAACTATATATATAAAGGATAACATAGATTTGTCTGTGTTTTCCACATAGCTATGATCCATTTTATGACTTGATTTTTAGATCTAGAGGAAGCTAGAGTGAGTTATACCTAGCCAGCTATACCTAAAATTGTAACTGTAGTATGCTATGCTGATAAAAAATGGCCTATTTGAAACACCTGAAGACACCTAAATCTTTTGTAAACTAAATATAGAGTTCTATTACTCAGACTAATTAATTAAAAAGATACTTTTGACCAAATACTATTATACAATTACAACACGCGAAATTATGATACACTCGTAAACAACAAATATCAATATATTCGCGGAATTAATATCGTATAGCGACGTTCCATACAACAACCTTTAGACCCAGCTAATTAACGCTTAATAAGTAATTAGGTACACATTCATGACTTACACCAGCAAAATATAGCATAATGATAAATGAATGAATCAAACAAGAGTATAAAAAAGTCTTCAAAGATTAAATCACGGTAAAGAATCTCCGCCGGTCGACCAATCAGCCAACAATTTGGCCCATTACACCCGTCGTACTAACCAACTAAATTCAAAACACACCTAAACCGTGTTAGCAACGCATTAGAGCCGCATCGCATCATATTCGGCCGCGTTATATAGTACCGAACTTACGCGGTGACATCAGCTCACATTATTATAGAGATAATATGTAATTGATTAAAGTCACGCCCAAAGAAATAGATTAAACTTATTTTACAGGTATACAAAGACAGTAAAACACTATATTTTAGTGTTAGATCCAGATAGAAATGCGATTTCTTTTCCATTTCAATTACTCGAGATTTATCTGTTATAAAGGCGTAAGATTAGCGCGCAATGCATCAAAGTTATCACAGAACACGGCAGTCCAGCCGTATCGCCGATAACGATACATTTATAGACAATTCGGACTAAAAAAATCCGACCCAATTCCTATTAGCATTACTAGACACACCCTATACCGCGGATGTCGAAAAAAACACATACCGACATAAAACCACCTCGTTCCTAATGATAATACAAACAAATATGTACAAAAGAAAGCTGAACACACGCAATACTCACCGGCAGATCTCCAAGACGCGTTTAAAAGTCGATTTTTGAGTCACTTCACACACTTATCGGATAGCGATTGTAACTTACACTAAGCACATAAACGAGGTAACATTATATTATAAAATAACATGCACAAAACGTTGTTCGTTATGTTTCAAAGCACCAGCACCACCGACATTACGCGTAGAGCGTTTATTTCAATAATTCGTTCGTAAAAAAGGAATTTCAGTAACACGCCACCGGAGTAGATCGATGTCGGCGCGAGTTTCGTTTTTTCGCCGTAGCGTCGCTGCTATCGACTGACATCGGAAGCCACGCTTCAGATGGCGCTGTAGTCTTCAGTGTTGTCAATGTTTTAAATTAAAATTCACCTCGTCTCACTCTCACGACCTCTTTATGAATACTAAAGTGGTAAATTAATTCTAATATTATACATCTGTGTCTCCCACTCATCTTTAAAAATGTAAATTGGTGCAACATTGATGTTAATGAAAATCATACAAAACCAATAATTTGACAATTTTGACTCTACAGACTTCTACTTCAAACTAGACTATTAATTAGTTTGATGACTGAAATGTAAAAAAATTGGACGTTTTTTAAACTTTAGTCTTAATATTCTTTCAGCATTACTTCCACTTATTTAGGCATTTACATAAAGTAGGCAACACTGGGATACAGTTTTTCATTTTATGCAGTAATTATTTCTGTTTGAATACAAAACCTGAGAAAAAAAATGAAATGTTTAAAAACTAACAAAAATTTTGTATTAGAATTTGCATTATTTTCAAATACCACCGAAATGTGAATCGGGATTACTTTCTTTTTTGTAACTTGACTAGGTTCTATCGTACTGTAAACGCTCTACGTACAAAGAAACGTAATTTACGTTTTGTTATTTATGATAGAGACCACTCAAATATTAAATTGCTTAAATTTTATTGAAAGATTTTAACAAATTTACTTAAGATACACCAATTTATGTTGTTTTTTATCTTATAAATAAATAAATGATTTTATATTTTATACCAAACTTTAAAATGCTTTATAAACAACAAAACGAATAACCGGTTCTATCACTGACCTCTATAATAAACGCTGGACTGGCTATCCCTAACAAAATGACAGCTATTTTCTGTGCCGATTCAAAGCGCCCCGGTGAGAGTACTGAGAACTAATTAAATTGCAAATGGCCGTTGTTTGTTGTTTAAATGCGAAGTATCTTTGCGGAATAATACGTTTTTTAAAGTATTTACTGCGATTGTGACATAAATTAAGTGTTATAATAGTGACAGTTATTGTATCATAGCTTCTATTAATGGACCAACATGAAATCGTGCGTATATTGTGAAATACGATACGAAAAGAGCAGTGGCGTCACTTTTCACAAGTAAGTGAATCTAAAATATAAATACTTAGTAGGAAACGCTTAAAGCAGTGTATTCTTTCAATAATAAACGTAAACAGTTCGAGTTTATGGGATTTTACGAACATTTTTATAACCAATAACTTTTGATAGGGATGGTAAAGTTCATATATCGATACTTTCGTCTGGAGTAATAAAACCAGTAATGCTATGTTTTATTTTATTCATATTAAAATATTTTATATTTTTAATATTAATTTGCGTCAAATACGACACAGCTCTTTATGGTTTTTTAACAATTCATAAGTATTATTGGCAAAATTGTGGTGTTTTCCACAAAGGCCTAAATAAGAATTTAATTGAATAAAAATATTTACCTTCATTGTAGAATAATAATAAGCACAATATAATGATCTCTAATAATAGCAAAACACTGCAAGGTTTTATAATTATCAGAGTCAATAACGAATAATTTAACATTTATGATTAATAATTTTATTGAGTGATCTACCAAACCTAAATTTAAGTATATATATTTGTAATAAAATAACACATTTTTACAGAAACCAATTCAACCTTATTACAAACTGAGATGTCTAAAAGCTGATCAACCAACAGAATACCAATGCGAGAAAGATATTGAAATGAGCTTGGATGAATTTAATTCACCATCAGTACCTGTACAAGTTGGGTTACTAAATGATGAAGTCCATGAAAAGTAAATGTTGCCATGTGAAGCCCTTGCAGGTAAGTTATTTTAGAAAATTTTATAAATACTGAGCATGGCTTGCTGAAGTACTAAGTTTGCAACTAACAGTGGGTAAATACTAAACAATTTTTAAGAGGTGAAAATTATGTACACTTAAGGATTTTTATGCCTATGTCCAACAGTGAACATCTTTCCGTTCAAATGATGATGATGACATACCTTTCCCAATATTTGAAACATATTTTTACTAGGTATCTAATTATTATCTTTCTTTGAATAATATAAATAATGAAATATAATTTCTTGTTACAGTTCCAAGCACAAGTTACAAGTTTACAACACAAGCTACTGTAGCACACCAACAGAATCTAGAACTTTAGCGGAAATTATTTCTAGTGTCAAATTAGATCACAGCTACGAGAACACCCCAAAATCTTCAAAAAATAAATTGGAAAGGGTCTAAAAACCTTGAAAATGTCACAAGCTCGAATTAAAGTATTGTCACAAAATATTAAACGTATGAAAATTACTGTGTCTACTTTAAAATCTGTAATTGCTGATTTAAACCAAAAGAAACTGGGATGTGATGATTGTGTTTATATGTTAAATCAGTATGATGATTTCAAACCACAACTTTTTAAAAGAATAACCAAAAATGTAAAACGTTTAAAGTAATCTCCAGAATTAAGATAATTTGCCATTTCTTTACATTTTTATTCGCCAAAGGCATATGCATATGTGCGTAATAGGTTTAATTTGGCTTTGCCTCATCCTCGTGTGATACGCTCATGGTATAGTTCCATTGAGGCCAATCCAGGTTTCTCAGTCGAAAGTTTCAATACCTGATTCTAATATTAATGAGGCTTTATAATTCGATCGATATGAAAGTCAATAAGCAACCTTTTAACGAAAACCAATGAACTGTTTCCTAAAAGATCACTTGAGAGTCAGTCTGTTATGTCTCAGACAATTTTCATAATCATGTTCTTTTAAAAGAAATAATAACCAAATATATTGACATCCATTTGTACGCAAAAACAAAAAAATACTTTTTATTAGTAACTGGAGAGAAAGTAAGACATTTTTTGACCCAGCAGATAAAATGGGCTCGACGATATATTTTAAATAATAAAATATGTGATTTAAATATGCTTTTTTAATTTCCCTGTCCCTTCCCTTGCAGTAGTTAAGCTGTTAGAAGTTTATTACCGTAATTACAGATCTAATAGTAATTATTGTGTCTTGTGCCGCATGGCGACATGGGATATCTTACTAGTTAGATATCCCACGTCGCCATGCGCAAGCAAATTAATCCCTTACCATAGAGTGTATAATACATTCTATGAAGGGTAATTTTATTATTTATTAATTCAATAGTGAACTTTTATCCAATCAAGAAGAACAATGAAATGAAAGAACGGGTCAACCGGACACGTGATACCTATTGATTACAGTCCAGAAACTAGTAGATACTACTATTACAGATAAGTTTGTTTGTCTCGTAGTAAGTGGCTCTGTCTGCTATGCCGCAGATCATGGGTTCGATTCCCACTCAGCTGTCTGATACATAACACAAGCTCTGCTTAACTTGGGACTAGATGGTGTTGTGTGATAGTTATTTAAGTCTGAACGTATTTTATGTTACAAACCATATTTAAAAAAAATATCTTATGTACCTATATGTCCTATGTACAGCCAGTTTATTCAATAATTTAGATTCTAAACCAATTTAATATTAAAAATATCGTCAGTAATATTTTTGTAATTGTTGTCGATATCAGTAAAGTTTTTATCGATATCAAACCATTTGTTGTCAACACTAGTATTAGTTCCATTCCCCCTCACTTCTGCCGTCAGCGCCAAAATGGCGATTTTCAAATAGGCACAAAAAGTTGGTACCAATAGCCAGTCCAGCGTTATTATAGAGGTCAGTGGGTTCTATGAAGATCCGTCTACTTCTTCAATTTCATTCATTCAAAAAATCATTCAATCTCAAAATGGCGTTGGACTAAGTTGTGCGTTGTTGTTACTTTTTGTTTTTGTAAAATTTTAAAACTGTTGACATAAAACTGAGGTAAATATTCATTTATATTCTTTATTATATTATACTTAATGTGGTTTGTGTTATATATTGTGTGTTAATAATGTAAATGTTGCAACAGGTTAACATGGGTCGTTCGCCCAGCCCGCGGCGGCGCGATGATAGGCGCAGAGATCGAGACAGAGACAGGGATAGAGACCGAGATAGGGACCGCGAGAGGCGGAGGCCTCGCACCCGGTCCCGTTCGCGGTCTCTGGACCGTCGGCGGCGCTCCCCGGACCGCCGACGCAGCCCCTCGCCGCGCCGCCGCCGCTCACGCTCCGCATCACCTGGACCCTCCACATCCTTCGTGAAGCCCAAGAAAACGTTCGGCGAGCGCCCGATCGTCACCCCAGCGGATCTAGAAGGTAAAACTCCTGAGGAACAGGAAATGCTTAAAGTTATGGGCTTTTGTGGGTTTGACTCCACTAAGGGTAAAAAGGTTGAGGACAATGTCGAGGGAGACGTCCATGTGGTGCTGAAACGTAAGTACAGACAGTATATGAACAGAAAGGGCGGGTTCAACAGGCCTCTGGACTTTGTTGCATGACTCCTCGGTGAACGCACAGCGAGCTCCTTCGCAACACTACTATGTTGGTCTGTTCTAGAAATAAGGCTGATATGTGATATTTTTGATAGCTCGGTTTTATGTGAACATTATTTACACTTGTTTTACAATTAGTTTAATTAAAGGCATCTATAGGTGATAACAAGCCTATTCCACTATTATGGGCCTACTCGGCTCAATGCCAATCTGCAGTCTGTTAAAAAGCTGATATTTTTTCACACAAGATCTACAATCAATTCTTGCACTACCAATTTTCTGACCTAGACATCAGTGATTCTATTTAGATCCTTATTGGATTCACATATAATCCAATTTAAAATATATAATTAAACTTTGTGGAATTTAAAAACATTTCGGTAATGAATGTGTCATTAATAAATGTTCCATGGGCATTAAAACATAATATTACATGGGAACCATCATGATAACATCATAGGATGACAAAAATATTATTATCTTTTCCGAGTAATACGTAATTATCTCCCGTAGACCAGTTTTCACCCTTACTCATGTAGAAAAAAATATATGTAAGTACAATGATCTTGACCGTTACTTTGTACCAGCTTTCTTTTATCAGAGAAAGTCTCTCATGGTTTCTTGGCATTGAAATTGGACAAAACCAGTTTTTACACAAAAGTTCTTTACAATTTTTTGAAGGTTATGCTGTAATTTAGGAGTTTTTGCAATCGCATAAAGCGTTTCTGGTCTTTTTAACTGTCATTTTGTGGTTTAATAATTCTTACAGGATGTAAATTTGTCTGTTAATTTAACTCAAATTTAGGGTGGAGTGGTTTGAACAATGATGATATTGAAATCTGTTTGAAAAAGCTTTCAAAATCATATTTGTAAATGTTATATTTATAAATATGATTTTAAAAGTTAATTTAATCGTTATTGCCATTTCTGATATTGAAGGCTTTAATAGCATTGTTAAAATTTCAACTCAAACCTTTAAACAGATTTATATTAACTAATGCCCATATTTAGACTCAAGAACATCTCATAAAATCTTTTCTACATGCTAAAAAATAATATACTAAAATCAAGTGCAATACCATTTTTTTTATAATGACAATGTGTTCCGAACTTACTTCAAGGTTAGGATATCAGGGTAATGAGGAAGCGTCAGATTTGTAGAATGAGTGTAGGTCTACACTTACTAGTCTGGAGGTAGTCTAGACTAGTTTTATTTAATTAGGCAAGTATGGTTTTGTAGCGACATCTATCGCACAACATTGACAACAGCACCAATCACGTGCAAGTTTCTACATCGCGCTATAAGAGTTTACAACACAATTAGCACCCATACAGATATCCCGACAACAACCGTCGGGCAGTAGCCCACCAGGCACGAACACCTCGCCTGGTCGGAGGATCCTCCCTTTTCAGTGGAGGATGAGGAACTTTCCACCCTGTTCCTCATACCTCTAAAGTTTTGATACTACTTCTTTGGTAAACAACTAATATAAAGATGTCAGTTTAGATCTAAAACTTTGATCCTTATTATTGACATTTCGTCGCTGAAGTTCAAACACAGCGGAACTAAAAAAAATGGTCAAATTGCGAATGTATGTCATTGGATAGAGAACCGAAAGTACCGTCATTTGACCAATCGCAAACAAGCTATTAAACCAATGATTGCGCGGTGGTTGCATTGAAAAAATATATACTTTTAGTGTTAGTAAAAAAAAGACATATATAAAAAAAAATCTGTTGTCTGTCTGTAATTGTCTGTCTCCGGAAATTAAGCGAGGATTTATATTTTACAAAAATAGCAAGAAGTCATTAAAGTAAATATCAAAAAAATAACTAAAAATACCTAACAATTGAACTAATATTTTTTTCTAAAACAGAAGTTTGAAAGTAATTTAGAAAAACATAAACACACCTACAAAGATCCAGAAAATCTTGCTCTCAATTAAAATTAAACTTAAAACAGTGACTATACAGTTGATATTTCAGTGTGCAGTGGTTTATTACTGAAATTTTAACTGTTCCACCTGATTGTAGTTGACATCTTTATTTATCATATTTTTTTGACACGAAGTTATAGTTCAATGGGTCTGTAATCTACTGTCACTACTCGACATTAGCAGTATAGTCAACAATATTGAATTGGAGACTTGGTGTCTATTCAAGAAGAAAAAAAATTAAATGAAAATCTTGCTGTCAACCAGCAAGAAAGTCTTATTTTTCGACCACTGCTATTTCACATCGTTCTTAAAGTCATAACTAATTTATTAATACATTTATATTAAAGATATACACTTTTTCTACATACTGATATTTTCTTCTATATCTAAATATAATGACTGCTAATTCACAAACAGTGTTCACATGAAACCAAGCTGTCTTATCAACTTTTTACTTAGAATTAAGTGTTATAATATATTGTTTCATTCATATCCTTTTTGGGAGATGTTACTGTATAGTTTTTGTTCAAGGGACATTCTTGATCCCTATTGGGGTCTCAAATGTACGTTTTTGGCATCACAAAAGCCATTTTCAACATTCTATTTGACATAAATGACATCCACAGCATTCTGACTGGTGTAAAAAGTGAAAATTAATTATCAAAGATTGTGTGTGACTATGTGATACAAGTTTTTGTGTCTCTAGTCTGCAAATTTGATCCTTAAGTCATTGTTTGCACATTCAAATTTGTGCTAAACAGTAACATTTCCCAAATTATCTGACGCCTTGCTGTTAAACTTCAGAAATTATATTCTTATCATGTCGACAAAAAACTACCAAAACCTCTAGAAATTCATTGGAAATGACTTTCTGAAGTGAATATGTGTTATATTTGCCACTAATTTGGCCTAGTCAATGTGAAACTCTTGACTATCCAACGTTCCAATGGATGAAAAATAAGGACTTCATATTGACTGATATCAACTTGACATCTTACTACTAGAAATTTTACCAATTACCTATGTCTTACAAGACTTTCAAGCAGACTTTTTGTACACAGAAAAACATACAAAAATGCTTAACTTGTTAAAAAAATTTTGCTCTGAGACTGTTCAGTTCTTTCCACTAAGTGGATCGTCTTCAGTATCTAAGCATCAGTCTAACATAATTTCTGAAGTTTATCAAAGAGGTCCATAGTATAAGTTAGTTGTAAGTCCGTTACACAGTACCCGCGCGCAGCTCCGGCCCGCGCGGGCCCAGTCAAGCGCCTCCGCGCACCCAAGAAACAGAATGGAATGAGCACGGGTCGACGATTTTTTGAGGTCTGAACGGTCCAGTTGAAGACTATAGTCACAATGATCATTCGGTCAATTTTAGACCATCGGCTTCGGTATTGTATGGTGGGTGGTATAAACTGCAAAATTCTCCGCACGATTTTATACACTCAAACTTTTAGATGTAAACTTTATACTATCCACTATACCCCCTAAATTGCTCGGCCAAGTCTGATACAACTGTAGCCGACAGACCGATCTATAAGACTGAAGCAATCCGCACTAGTTGTAAGTTTACCGCACGGCGCACCTCTAGATAATAGAAGATATATTTATACACAACATATACACACCCCCTCCCCCCAGATTCACCCCCTATCCTCCACAATGTACAATAGTTATAGGCCAATATAACAGAATGTTGTGTTCTTTGTAAAGTGGTTTCAAATTCATACTTGGCAACACTAATTTATTTTTATAATAGTGTTGCCAATTTATTTAGATCATGGATTCTCCATTTTTGGGGATACGCAAAATTTCACATTTTGTATATCTGTAAGCGTTGCTTGCAAAAGACATAGCATTCTGTGGTGTTGGTCTCCGTTATACAATAATATACAATGGTTAAATATATTTTTTATGTATATTATTACTGCCGCGCCGTGAGGGTGCGGGTCGCGACTCCATCGTCCCCCGTGCACATTGCAACCTGTTTGTCAATACATCTGCCCCATTTGAATGAATCTACAAAAGCTAAAATGTCCACAGCACAGTTTTCGCACTAAATTATATACCAATAAAACTTGCACTGAATGAAATGTTGATAAGACTCCCAGAAACGTTAACTCAGCATTGAATTCAGTGTAGCAATTCCGAACAAAAATGATTTTTGTAAATTTATAAATTGCAAGTACCGAGAAATTACTGTCATGGTACTACATGATGCCAATTTGGTTTAGGCGTCGTTTTGGTTAAAAAAACTTTGTTATTTTCATCACATATAGATTAGAAAATCAACCAGTTTGTGTTTTTTAACCATATTTGTAATGTAAAAAGAAAAAAACTTTTCAGTTTTTTTCTTAAAATTGATATTTTGTCAACTAAATTGTATTTCTTTATAATTTGTGTTCTTATAAATTGAACTTATAATTTCAATGATCCTGTAAAACACTATGTTTATATTAAAATCCTTATTTTCATAATAACACCAAATAATAATCAATAATAAATAAACACAACATCAATATAAAACACTGATACATATCAGTGAATGGATTCATTCCCAATGTACATACCACGCATTATTTATACTTATTTAAAGTGAAAAAAAAAATAATGAAAAATATGTAATTAATTTGAAAAGCCACTCCGTTATGTGGAAACAGCAATGAAAATACAAGAATTCTATAATTTTCGTCAAAATAAGAAAATTGTCTAGCTAAAAATGTTCAAAAAAAATGTTTTCTATATGGCAAATAATAAAAGTATAAGCTAAAAAATAGTAAGCTAGTCATACTAATTGACATTTTCTCTGCTGTTTTCCCGAAATGTGAGCTCAAATGTAACATTTTGGCAATTTGGATTTTTAGTTTAAATAGTCTTAGCAAACTTGTGTATGAAATTCATTAAAAATCTTATAAAATCCTTGGTACGTTTTGTTTTTATGTATTCGACATTAAACTTAGTAAGTAGATAATTTGGTACTATTTGAAATCTAGATACATTACAAGTTTTTGTTGGGTTTTGACTTCTATGAGATAAAATATTGAAATTTGATCAGTTGAAGTAACCAATTATTAGTTTGACTTGTAATCTATTTAAAATACCTAAAGTACTTATGTGTAGTGTTATTAAAGTATATAAAAATGTATAAAAATTATATAAATGTCGACTAAATTTATATATATCTTGTTTTAGAACATTGTATATTTGTTTTGTGTACATTTTTGTATAAAATTAATTTAGTTTTGTTAACCAAGGATTCAAAATGAATAAATCATTTTGGAAATTCTTTTTTTGTTTTATTTTTATTTGTAACACTCCTTTTAGTATCAAAGGTATTTCTTTGCCTATAATTTATCAGAAGCTGGGACTTATTTAGATTTGGCTGTCAGCTGCCTAACAGAAGGCCTTGGGCTTTTTTTTTGGAGGCTCAGTCACCCTCATCCATAAGAGAGCACTCCTTAATTCAAATCCCTACACGTGGTTTCTTGGTGGTGCACTAAACAGGGGACACTTTAGGGGTGGTAGGCTTCGGCTCTTCGCTTCAAGAAAACCCGTGTTCCGTCACAAAGCTCGGTGATGCTGCGTGAGGAGATGAAGCGATGGTTCAAGGTAGCCGTGGAGGGTAGCGGGATCCGAGGTACAATGCACCGCTGGCCGACTTCAGATAGTTAGGGGCAAGGACCCTATTAGCGTGTTACAGACCCGTTAAAGTACATATGTCCCGCCATCTGTCAAAAAATCCCAAGAATATCCATGGAGGGCCTCGGGCGTCCCATCGGTTTCTAGACCGACCCCCTAATGGCGTGACTAGTGCGGTGCGCGTCTGGGGGCACCCCGTGTGGAAATTTACTCTACTGTCATCCTCTCAGTAACCTTCCTACACTCATAGGCAAAGAATAAGTCAGCGTTTATTTAGACTAAATGATGAAATAATGAAATTAATCGTGAAATTAATTAAAAAGGGGTGGTTACCTTTGAGTTTCTTATTTTCCTCAATTTACACTTTGGAACGATTCTACACTATATAGTTTCACTATAGGACTGACACATAAAGTTGAACTTTTTGATAATACTATAATTTTTTGTTTGACGTCCAGTGCCTTTTGCAGTCTTATTGAAATATATTATTTGACTTAAGTTTTGTTCATCAGCGGCTGCACTCCTTCTCCCTAAAAGGG